TTTAAAGTGTCCATATATTTTTCATTATAGTTTTTCTCTTTTAATTTTTCCTTGAGATCTTTGGCTGGTTCATTAAAAACCTGATTATTTTATCGTATACGTTGGCTCTTTGGGACGCTGCGGAGCCACATGGGATTATGGCAGCTGATAAGTCTATAAAAGTAGTGGTGTGCACTTTTAAAAAAAAAAGTTTGGGTGTGCAAATTGCAGTTGTCTATATAGATTTCTAGGTCTAAAAATTGTACCTTAGTGGTGCTTATTTCAGTGCTAAGCTTAATACCCCTGTCATTGTTGTTTAAAAATTGTAAAAAGTAATTAAGTTCATTTGTAGTGCCTTCCCAAATAAAAAACATATTGTCAATATATCTACGGTATAAAATAATATTAGATTTCCATTGTATGTTAGACCAAATACAGTTGTCTTCCCAATCGGCCATGAACAGATTGGCATAGCTTGGTGCTACCTTCGTCCCCATAGCTGTGCCTTGTTGTTGCATATAAAATGAGTCATAAAACCAAAAATAATTATTGTTAAGAATGATGTCCAGGCCCTCTAAAATAAAATTACTTAGAGTTGAGGGTGTATCTCTGTCTCTCTCTAAGATACGTTTTATAGCAGCACATCCAAGGTGATGAGGTATAATGGTATAGAGGGACTGGACATCACTGGTGACTAAGATGTAATTTGGCTTCCACTTAAAATCATTTAAAATCTGTAGGAGACTCATACTATCTTTCAAGTATGATCTCATATTGGAGGCGTGGTGTCCAAATATTCTGATAGGTTGGATAGGACTGAGTTGATGCCTGAAGCTATAGGGCGGCCTGGAGGTTTGTTTGTTTTTTGGGTGGGAAATAGAAGACTGGTATAGTTGGATGGGTTATATTTATATAAGTGTATTCATTTCTGTTAATAGTCTGTTGGTCTAGTCCTTTATTTAACAGAATGGTTAAAAAGTTTTTGATATTGGGGGTAGGATCAGATAAAAGTTTCTTATATACCGTGGTGTCATTTAGTTGGGAGAGAGCTTCCTTCGTGTACATGTCTGTAGGGAGAATAACTATCCCACCCCCCTTGTCTGCTGGTTTTATGACGATATTCTTATAATTTTTTAGAGTTTCTAGAGCTATTTTTTCTTTTCTTGTTAGATTTGATTTGTCAGATTTGCTGGTAGTAGTTTTTTTAAGGTCCTTGGTGACTAGCTTTTCGAAAGTATCTAGGCTACTGGATTTGAAATATGAAGGGTAGAAGGTGGAAGTAGGTTTTAGTTTAGTGTAAAGGTCACTGGTGGTATTATCATTGTTTTTGCCTATGTAGAATCTTTTTAATGTGGTTTTCCTCACAAATTTATTCACATCAATGAATGCAGAAAAGGGGTTAAATTTACAGGTAGGGGCCTTTATTTAGTACTGCTAGCTCAACAGCAGTTAGAGATCTGTTAGACAGATTAAATATGCTGGTCCCAGAATCTGTATTTGTATTGGTTTTTTTAAAAAAGTTTTTTATTCTCTCTTTCCTTTTTTGTATCCTTCTCCCACTCCTTCGTCCTCTTGTGTGAGACTTCTCTTTTTCCCCTCTGCGTCTGGGTCTGAAGTGTTTCAGGGTCCCTGATAGCTACAAGGAAGCCGACTTGGCGGAGGTACTCGGTCGGAGTAGTGGAGCTCCGTAACATTGGTTGGCAGCGGTGGGATGGCTTCCTAGCAGCTGGAGAAACGTCCCTGGACACCGGCGCCTCTACTGGGATCCCACTGTGCTTTCTGGAATTCATGGAAATGGATAGAGCTAGCACCCGTGCAGCATCCCCATTTGGGGAGGAGTTACAGCAGAGGCTACAAGCAGCTCTGTCCCAGTATGATGGCCCTTTCTTAACAAAGGGTGAACTGGACCGGCGGGACTCGATCCGTCGGGATCTCTGGAACAATGTTCTTGAGGAGGTTTGTTGTCTCTGGGGAGAATCCCTCCCAACCATTATGCAATGATTTTGGGATCAAGTTGATTTGCGGATGCAATTCTTGGGAGAGCAGCCCCTGGCGGAATGGGTGTTTAAATTAGAGGAGCTGGTACAGAAAGAATTGTGGCTGGATGATTCTTACTGGGCCTTAAGGTGGTATGCAGTCCAGCAGTACCCATTTCTAGCAGATGATGACTCTCCAGAGGGTGAGGACTATGATGGCCCTGGCCTATTGTGGGAGGCCTTTGAGGATAAAATTGAATTGGGAAGTCCTGAGAGGTCCTGGCTTTATGACATTAGGGAAAATAGGGAACACCTACTGGATCTCTGAGAAGCATCTGACCTGGAACCTGATTTGACCCACCTGGCCACCATGGAGTGGGAGCTTGAACTGGATTACAAGCAATTGTTTGACTCTGCACAGCAGCAGGTACCAGAGACTGGGGATTTAATAGACCTTACATCTGAATATGTTGGTCAGGTAGATGTGGAAGGAACCGTATTCTCCACATCTGAATCACAGGGATACTGGACAGCCATCCCAGATCTCCCAACTCCTGGCATGGAAACTCATGCAGCAGAGGTAGAGGTTGTCGGTCTCCCCCTTCAGCAGCAGATTGAGTTACTGGGTATAGAGGTAGTCGATCTCCCTCCCCAGCTGAAGTTTGCGTTACAGGGAGAGGAGGCAGTTGGTCTTTTTCCCCAGTGGCAAAGTGTATCCCCAGCAGAAGAGCTGGCATCAGGACAGAGGACCACTGGCCCCTGACCCCAACTTGCAGCAATGCTGGAAGTTGAGAGCAGGGAAGATAGCCTTTCGGTGATGGTGGAACTTGAAGAGTACACCACCACCCCAGCTGAAGCGCTGGCATTGAGTCAGAGCGCTGCTGGCCTCTGTGCCCAACTTGCAATGACGCTGGAGTTGAAGAGCAGGGAGATCAATCTTCTAGTGAAGGTGGAGTTCAAGGAGTGCGCAACTCCCCCAGTTGAAGCGCTGGCATCGGGGCAGAGCTCCACTTGCCTCTGCCCAAACCCACTGGTAACCCGCGAGCCTCAGGCATCAGACACTGCTGGTCCAACGGAAGAGCAGATCCCAGAGCAAAGCACGACTAACCTTAGCCCTTTGCCACAAGCACTGAGGGATCTCTATCCAATACAAATGGATGGAACTCTGGTCTCTACCTGTGTCCCCAGGAAGGCTGGACAATGAGCCCCATCCCCATGTCAGAGGGGGCCCAGAGAGACAGTGGCAGAGAGATCCTGGGAGACAGGACAATGGGCATGCATCGCCAGGTATATGCTTTAGTAGATGCAGAGGTCGGCTGGGTAAGTGCTGCTCTTCCATGGGCAATTTGTTTGGGGTACCGTTTTGGTGATGGCCTTGATGATCTGGATGTAGTCACTAACTTCAGAGTCAACTCGTCTGGGGTCTCCTGTATTGGTCTCCTTCTGAAGGGGGAGAAATATGCTGAAACTATTCTGAGCTGGAGATACAGGGTTCCAGAATTGCTATTGGGGTCTATTGGGGTCACAGTGGCCCCCTAAGAGTGGAGTCATATGGGGATAGGTTTGAGTTTGGGAAGGGGGCCACTGGGAACTCCCTTTCTCTACTTCAAAGTCCCCTCTTATGTCTAAGTCACCCTGTGCTTATTAGAGGCACAGTGTGACCGAGAAGACCAGTCTGGCCTGCCCAAACCAGACTTCCAAAGACTGATCGGCTATGAGGGCTCCATGCTCCCGATCGGGACAAACTTACAAACTATGTTTGTCCCGAAGCAGAAGGCTGCCAGGATGGATGCACGTTTTGGGACTTATTACCCGACTAACTCAGGCACAGACCGATTGGAGGTCTGGTACCTGGTTAGTCTACCTTTGGGGGGGAAGATATGTGACGGTAGTCACCATCATTGGTGATGGAAGACAGACACTATGGGTGGGCTCCCAAATTCCTTTTGTGTTTTGTCACATTGTGCCTATTATTTGTGCAGGGTATGTTGAAATTATTGCTGGACTGTGCATCTCCCCATCCCCTCTTTTTCCTGTCCTATTGTTTCCTCAGCAGGGCGTTGTCCCAGGGACACTGCCAGACCGGTTTAAACTAGCTGTTCTGTCCCTCCTCAATCTCCCATCAGCCCTTGCTATTGTCTGACCCCACCCTTCCTTGTACTATAGTAATCTATGTAACCTATTGTATGTAAATGAGGCTGTTGGGGGCTTAAAACTATGTGTGCTGTATTCATTAAAGAGTTGCTCTTTAACCTTCACCATGTGTCGTCTGGTGTTTGGTCCAGGGTGGAAAAGACCCTAAGTGATCCCAGTCAAGCCTCGACGTCTGGGTCTGAAGTGTTTCAGGGTCCCTGATAGCTACAAGGAAGCCGACTTGGCGGAGGTACTCGGTCGGAGTATTGGAGCTCCGTTACAGTGCTGAGTTGAGTGCTGTGGTCACAGTGTCTGGTGTGATATGCAGGAGATTTAGGAGAATAGTATGTGTGGGAGATGTGGGGTGGCAGGGTCTTTTGAAGATAGGACGATATTGGTGCATGGGTCGATAGAACCTGGGTCTCTTTGGGGATGGTGAGTTGAATCTGGTGTTGTATGTTGGTGCTTTTCTATCTTTGTTGTACAGACGTGTGCCAGACGTGGAGTGTTGGTACCGTTGATTCTTTGAGTAGTCTTTTGTTTTTAATGGGCTTCTGACTCTGTTAGGGGAGTTGGGGATGGGATCTCTTTTGTTGTGGTATGTCCGAACTTGTTTTTTCATATAGTCTTGTTTGTCCCTAATGTATTTTTTTATTTTGATGTGTCTTGTGTCAATCTCTATTTTTCTACGTTGCTTTGTATCAGGACAGAATTCTGTTTGTATTCATGCCCATCTCTGTATGGGGATAGTTTTTCTTTTAGTGTGTTCATTTCAATATCCAGAGGGAATAGCTGGCGGGTAGATAGAAACTGGACTGGGAGGGGACTGTGGCAATAAGTCCTTAAAGGATGATGAATCCATCACATCATTTTTTGTATATGAGATTTTATCCTCTTTGTTTGTGGGGCGTCTCAACATTGAAGGTGTGCTCTTTCTCTCATTTGGTCATTTTCGTCTGCTGTTTTCACAAACTCATTTTTATTATTTATATTATTGTCATTTGAAGTCAGATTTATGGAGGATTTAGAGGCCAACAAAGGAATAAAAGATGTCTTCTCCACTTTCTCCTCATCCTCAGCAATATATGGTTGTCTTTTCAGATCATCCTTCAGCTTCATGAGAACATTTGGCTGTGGGAAAAGAGCACGCAGACCAGAGGCAATTTGTTCAAAGTTGATTTGAAGGTTTTTAATTGGGTCATACTTTAAACTGCTGACAGGTTGGTAGAGTCTGGCCACCTCATTGTCTATTTCCTTGACTAAATCATTGACTGATTGCAGGAATATTATTGGATTTTCCTCTTGCAGAGCCTCCTTGGAGTACTGTACTATACCTTCAAGGGTCAGGAGCCTTTGTTTAGAGGAGCTCAAGAACTGTGTCCGTTGAAAATCCTTTTTAGATTCAATGCTTTGAATGGAATTTAAAATATCCTTCTCTTGCAAAGTAAGAATCTCATGCAGTTTTAGGAATCCATTTCTGATTTCATGTATCTTGTCTTCCTTGGAGCCCTGGAAGTTGTCATTCACCAAATTAATTTCTATAAGGTCATTTTCAAATTTGCATTTTGCTGTAAAAAAAAAGTATTTCTAAATTCCATTTAATGAAACTCTAGGTAACTTGCTAGTTTTGTTGGATATTTTCTGTGGCAGAGATGGATTAAGATTCCACAGAGCCCTAGGCAGTCTATTCATTTGATCCCCCCCCACCCCCAGCCCTTCATTGTGCACATAGGGATGGTGAATGGGGCAAATTACATTCATGGTTTTAGGGCCCATGTCAAACCCCTTTTCCTCTGGTTTGATTCAATGCATCTCTATGAGAAGATGCTGATTGGCCAGGGCTGTGTTTGGCTTGTGCTGGTTGTTCCCCAGATCTGTCTCCTTGAAAAGCTGAGCCAATCCAATGCTTTACTATGGGAAAGCATTGTGATTGGCTAAGATCACCACTTCTGATGATGTCAGCCAAGAAGGCAGATCAGTGGCAGAAGCAGCACCAGCAGACTGGAATAAAGGTAAGATTTTACTATAATTTAGGGGGGATAAAGGGGTGGGGGGAAGGGGGGCTAGATTGTGTTTTTAACACGATAGGGTCAGGAATACAAGTTTGTTTTCCTGACTCTATAGTGTTACTTTAACTGTTGAGCTTGTGATAAAAGGAAAATACATAGATCTTGTGTTAAGGAGTAGAACCATAGAATATCTATTAGACATTTCCGATACGCTCTCAGGAAGAAAAAAAAAAGCATATTTTAAAGGCAGCACGTGTATTTGGGTCACTGTGACTTACGCAGAATAAATATTTCCAACATGACCACATTTCAAATGCCAAGGTTATGGATATGAAGCCTGTCTTGAAGGTTAAAGATTTTAGTGACCAAAGCCATTGTCGTAGGAGGCCTGGACAGACCCAGTGGGATACCTACAAAAGGACTTTGGTGTCTGGGTTAACAAGGCTGACAATTTAGTTTTAGTATTTGATCTCCCTGGAGGTTTAAGCATGATGAGATAAGACATTTATAAAACACACCAATTGACACTGGTGGCGACAGAGTTATGGGGAACAAGGGAAGTCTGTGTCACTCAGACATGCACATGTTTCATTTGAATATTCCACAAATAAACAGAAGACATATCATTTTGGAAGATTCGCACAGGGTTATCTACTGATAATCACTACACAAACATGATGCATTTTACACTATTAACGCACACCAGTGCACCACTGACCTCTTTTATCATTGGTGAGAGATGTAAATAGTGTGTGTGCTTCTTTAATAGTGGCTTCTGTCAAAGGCAGGCATATGTGTTTCTCATGGTAGGTAAATTTACACTGCCTGCACAGCAAGCTTCTGTCCGTCATGCAGTACTCCATAATGGGCATTGAAGAATGATAAAAACAAGTCTGTAATTTATATTCCTCCCAAAACTGTTTAGTCAAGATATGTTCTTCAAATTCTCTTTTGTTGTGGAAGAAACGTAGACACTTGCGGCAGTAATTCATTTTGCAGACGGTGCATCTCATAACAGCTTCTCCCTAATGATCAGATTACACACAATACTATCTATGCCGGGCCTTTAAATAAATGCTTGTATTTCAAGGCTACCTTAACACAGAGGTAATTCTCAGGAAGTCGGATCTGTTCTTTACCAGAGAAATAGTGTGCAATTTCAAACACGGAGCATGACACCACAGAATAGTACCCTCTACCTTTTTGATCTTTGGTTTTAATCTTGTCCACGCAACATTGGCAGAGGCAGTGACCGCAAGGTAGGATGAATGGATTGTAATACATGTATTTGCACGAAGGACAACTGAGTTGCTGAATTATTGCATTCTTTAGTTCTTCTGAAAAAGGACCTTCTGTCTTCTTCTTCTTCTCTACTCTAAAGCAATTATAATAATGATCAGTCAGTGATATGGAGACCTATAACATTTGTCACTAGAAATTCATTCCAGAAGACCCAGTTCAATGTTCATTTTCAAGGGACATTATCACCAGTTTAGTTTCAAATCTAATTTACAATAAATCAACAATAAAACACAAACAATATTAATACAACATGTCCTGAAGCAAATTCATATTATTTCCCTTTTAAAGGGTTACTGAAAGCATCATGACCACTTTACTGATTTGAAGTGGTCATGGTCTCTGGAGTCTGTACGTGCAGCATTTCTGCTGCTGGGGGTGTAACTCCACCGCTGGCTGCGTCACTGGAGCGACATAAGCCAGGCCGGAACAAGAGTTCTGGGCTGGCTAATATGAACTGTGTGCAAATGTGGTGTCTGATGCTAGAATGCACAGCCAATTGCAGAATGGCCACTCTACTATCCTCCCCTCAGCTGACTGGTGAAGGGGAGTGATATCGGCTGAGGAGGTTTGGTTGCAAAGAGAACTTAGCCTCAGGGTTGGAATAGAGGTAGGTTTTAGCGTTATTCTGTTTTGTTAGGTTTTTGGGGAGTGAAGACAGTATAGGAAGGGTTATTCTGGCTAAAAGCAGTGTTTTCCTTTAATACCTCTTTGTAAATGTTATTGTGGAGTGTGCATTCATGCAAGGGATTTTATTCTCAGTTAATGATCAGGAAACCAAGCAGGTATCAGATAAAAAAATGTTTTGACGTTTAACATTAGTATGGTGTCAGGTGTTTACTCGCACCATAACATCTAAAGTGTGCTGGCAATTAGAGTGACCTTTTAATGTACTTTATGGTTCATCTCTTTATACTGCCTCTCTTGGCAAACTTATTGCCTCATTTGGATTTCACTACCACCTGTACGCTGATGACACCCAGATAAATCTCTCCTCCCCAGACCTCTCCCCTGCTGTCCTGCAACGTGTCACTGCTTGCCTTTCTTCCATCTCTGACTGGATGTCCTCCTGCTTTCTGAAATTCAATCTCTCTAAAACTGAGCTCCTTGTCTTTCCATCTCCTAATACTGATCCTCCTCTCTCGCTCTCCCTTCAAGTCAGTGGTATTAGAAGAAGAACTAGACCAATCATGGCCTATAGAAACTTGGCAGGGGGCATTTTTAATAACAGATACTTTAAAATATTGAACAGATCGTATTCCATACCAAACTATGGAAAATTTTAAAAAGACAATAGGCAGAAGTATTGCTGGAGAGGCTGCAAACAAATTGGGTCAGCTTTACATATGTGGTGGTCTTGTCCTCTAATTCAAATATACTGGAATGATGTTTTTGCTTGGATATCCCAAATATTGGGGAAAGAAATGAAAATGGGCCCAGAATTAGTTCTGTTTCATGTTTTTCCCGATAATATTTCAATTGATGTTAAAGGTTTTCTACAACAGGCTTTAATGGCAGCTAAATGGCTTATAGCGTTAAAGTGGAAGGGATAAAGAATGCCCCTATGGTCTGATATTGAAACTGTCATGCAGAGAAATAGAGCTTTAGAACTAAATTATAAGAATGAGGGGATATATAATGTCCCGAAATACAAATGGTTGATATGGGATAAATATTCATTAAACCCTGGCAACACAAATTTATAGTAGTAGCGATGATTGCACCCACCCCCCCATGGCCAGCTCACTACGTCTCATTTCTTGGAACAGCGTGCAGAATGCGTGTTTTTTTGTTTTTTTTTCTGTGTTTGCATTTTCTTATAGATAGATGTGCTCTCACTGCAAAGTACACAAGTTACAGAGAGAAAACTGACTTTTCGTATACAAGTTAGAGCAGCGCACACTGAGATATTCAGGGGTAAAATATATGAAATAATGAACTGCTCCACACTTTTTTAACTGATGGACGCTGTTTGAGGCTGTTTTTCAGGAGATGTGTATTTAATGTTAACATAAGAAGATGTATTCAAATGTGCAAATGTTTGTCTTGTGTATTTTATGTGTTTTGTGATAAATTGAATAAACGCACACTGTCTTGGCGTCATACTTGACTCTGGCCTCACCTTTGAGCCTCACATCCAGTATGTTGCCAAATCCTGTAGATTCCAACTTAAAAACATAGCCAGTATCCGCCCCTTTCTTACAAAAGATGCTACCGAGGAGCTTGTCCATGCTCTAGTAATTTCCCGATGGATTATTGTAACCCTCTTCCCAAAAGCCGTATTGCCCCGCTACAGTCTGTAATGAATGCTGCCGCCAGACTGATTTTCCTCTGTAGTCGTCCTCTCACACCTCACCCCTCTGTCAGTCTTTACATTGGCTTCCTGTATCCTATAGGAGTCAATTCAAAGTGCTATCCCATATATATAATAAAGCACTGAACAATTCTAACCCCTTTTATATCTATTCACAGATCCATAGGTATGATCCTTCTCGGTCCCTCCACCCTGCCCGTGACCTTCTCCTGTCCGCCAACTCACCATACAGCCAACTCACGCTTGCAGGACTTCTCGCGGGTGGCTCCCTTCCTACAGAATAGACTGCCTACCGCCATCAAACTCTCCCCTAGTCTTCAATCCTTTAAGAAGTGCCTTAAAATCCATCTCTTTAGGAAAGCTTATGGCCTCCCAGAGTAACCTCTACCTTAAATACCTGTCTCTTGCTCTATCCTAAAGGGCAGCACTGTACTCTCTCCTCCAGCTCTGCTTCACTCCCACCTTATTTGATTGCTATTTCCTGTCCTAATGTGTTTTATACCCCACCTCTTATAGACTGTAAGCTTTTGAGCAGGGTCCTCTTCAACCTATCATTCCTGTAAGTTTTCTTTTAATTGTCCTATTTATAGTAAAATCCCCCCTCTCATAATATTGTAAACCGCTACGGAATCTGTTGGCGCTATATAAATGGCGATAATAATAATACCTAAACTGAGCCTGACATCCAGAGATTATGTGTATTATTCTATTCTAGAAAACGATACCAAGTGATGGATTAAACAGATTGTTTCCAGACTAGAATCCATATTTTGTTCATCAAATTGTATGCATATACATTGTGATCACGTAAAGAACCTGGTTCTGTACTTACATTCCTCTTGGCATTGGTTCGCAACACCGGCATCGACTTATTCTTTTTTTGCAGATACATAGTAGATTAGTGAGGGTTAAACAGAAGTAGCCTGGGCATTTTTCCTGTTCATGATAAGGGTGGAAATATTAGCAAAACATGTGGCACAGTCCGAGACCATTTGCGGTACACTACTTAATGTTCATCCCTCTGGCCAAATCCACTGTGTGTCATAATGTTGGTAAAATAAAGTGTAGAGACCATATCGTTGAAACTGATTGTGTCATGATTGTGTCATGAATTACTGGATGGTGAGGTGGGGCATATGAAGAATGGATCAGTTGGTTTATCTTTCTCTGGACCATTAATTGCGCCAACCAATAATTTTTTATATTGAGTGCCAGAGGAGTTCTTATCACAAATCTACACAGTCCCACCAAATTCAAAGTTAAAAATAGATTACTCTGTCATGTAACATAGTTGACTCATTCCTAAACTCTATTTTCTCATAAAAGTAAACACTATGTTATAAACCTCAAAATAATCAAAAGTGACGTACCTTAACTACATTTGGATAAGCTAAACTCTGGTAGATAGAAACTGGACTGGGAGAGGACTGTGGCAATAAGTCCTTAAAGGATGATGCATACATCATATCATTTTTTGTATATGAGATTTTATCCTCTTTATTCGTGGGGCATCTCAACATTGGAGGTGTGCTCTTTGGTCTCATTTGGTCATTTTCGTTTGCTGTTTTCACAAACTCATTTTTGTTATTTATATTATTGTCATTTGAAGTCAGATTGGTGGAGGATTTAGAGGCCACCAAAGGAATGAAAGATGTCTCCTCCTCTTTCTCCTCATCCTCAGCAATATATGGTTGCCTTTTTAGATTATCCTTCAGCTTCATGAGAACATTTGGCTATGGGAAAAGAGCACGCAGACCAGAGGCAATTTGTTAAAAGTTGATTTGAAGGTTTTTAATTGGGTCATACTTTAAACTGTTGACAGGTTTGTAGAGTCTGGCCACTTCATTGTCTATTTCCTTGACTAAATCATTGACCGATTGCAGGAATGTTATTGGATTTTCCTCTTTCAGAGCCTCCTTGGAGTACTGTACTATATCTTCAAGGGTCAGGAGCAGGGCCGGATTAACATAGGGGCTGATGGAGCTGCAGCTCCAGGCCCAAGCCCATGGAATAGGCCCATTGATTTAAAAAAAAAAAAAAAAACTTTTTTTTTTTTTACACACTACTTTTAGGGTGTAATGATATTGATGTTACAAAGTTTTGGAGTCCAGTAGCCGGATCAGCAATGTTTTCTGCCAGAGGTAGCCACTCGTTACCCAGGTGGTTGAGCCCCTGAGCCTTGAGTGGCCTTCTGGTCTTAAGCAGAGATGGGAGACTGGAACAGAAAGATGATAATCGTAGTGAGGCAAGCCGAGGTCAGTGGGAAGGAGAAGCAGCAAAGTCAAAACAGTCCAAATTCAGCAACAGGAAGGAGAAACAGGAACACGCTTGATTAGAGAGTACAGGAACCACAATAATCTGGCAAAGGTACAGAGACAGGAAGTGGCTTTTATAGGCCAAGAACCAGACACCTGACCAGACACAACTGAAGAGAGTTCTCACTGATAACCTTTACTCTATAAGCAATGGTATCATACGTAAAGCAGTGTTCCTCTCCCAAACCATTTGAATTAGAGTAATTTTGATTAAATTGTCACTGAAAAATAAAAATAAAATAAAATTTTAAAATTTAAAAAAAACTATATTGTACAGACTTATTTTTATATACAATTTATAGTTATAGACAACTATTAAGGATAAATAAACCCAAGACATTTGATGTGCCTATTTACTTTATAAGGATACCAGTAAGCAGTGATGTCATCATGCATCATAATAACCTGAGAGTAGGGGTAGTAGTAGTAACAAGAGTTTGAACAATCTGAAGCCAGTCAGTGTGGAGCTGGGACTACAGGGTAAACAGGAACTCATCAGAACAAACCAAAACCTTCTGGATAATCTGCCTCATGGACCTAAACAGGCTCTGAAGAGGATTGTAATGTATGGGGTAAATAATTCATATGAAATACATTGAATACAGATCCAGGGACAGACTTGTAACCAATCGCCTTAATATGGCGTCAGGAAGGAATTTTTTACTTGGATATTTTAACCCATTGTATGTTCAAATTTTTCCGCCTTCCTCTGGATCACTAATTCACTAAATATTGAATTGTAGCAAATTTATCTGACCAGTTTATTCACTAAACACCAAATTTTATCTACATGTGTGTTTGTATTTTTGTAACTCTACTCTAACACTCTAATAAAATTAGAAGACTGGATTCATTATATAGTTACTTTTTAATTACATAGGTTACAAAAATACAAAGATAAACAAAATAAACTTTAAACACCTTAAAAAGGGGAAATAATATTTCATTGGATGAATTTCCATATATAACTGACACTAAATATATATTATCCTCATGCTTCTGTAAATATGCAATCACAAATATAGTGTCATGTCCCAATATTAGGGAAAAAGCATATTATGAGTTCTAATAATAATAAGTCCATTCTGACCACATCTTATCACATTTTAAACCACAGTTTTGCACTATATATTTTTTTATGATCAAACCTGGCAGCATTTACTCATGAGTTAGCTCCTCCCATCACAACAGAAAGGGCAGGAAATAGAACTCTGAAATTGGTATAAATAGATTGATCCCCTCCCCAACAGGCGAGTCTGCTTTAGCAGGCCTAGATTTTTCTTCTATGCTCACCAGGCAGGTATTTTTGTGTCCATGTCAGGGTTCCTTTCATGAACGGGGGTCAGACCCAATCGCTACCTCAGGGGATGAAAACAGTCCATTGCATACATGCCAGGGTTCAGCCTCTAATCCCTGAAGACCCAGCAACAGCATATGTCTATGAGTTGTTAGCCTGGGTAGCCGCTTTAGTGACCTGGGGTCTGACTCAATTCCCTCCTTCAGAGGAGAAAAGCGATCCATACATGAAGCCATGCCAGGGTTCAGCCTCTTATCCCTGAAGACCCAGCAACAGCATATCTCTATGAGTCGCTAGCCTGGGTAACCCTTTTAGTGACTGGGGGTCTGACCTAACTTTCTCCCTCTGGGGATGAATGTGGTCCACAGTATACCTGAGGCCCAGCCAGGGTTCAGCCTCTTATCCCTGAAGACCAATCTCTATGAGTCGCCAGCCTGGGTACCCACTTTCGTGACCAAGAGTCAGATCCAATCGCTCCCTCAGGGGATTAAAGCAGTCCATTGCATACATGCCAGGGTTCAGCATCTTATCCCTGAAGACTCATCTCTCTGAGCTGCCAGCCTGATACCCCCTTTAGTGAATGGGGCTCTGACCCAACTCTCTCTCTCTCACTGGATGACAGTGGTCCACTGCATACATGAGGTCAAATCATGGTTCAGTCTCTTATCCCTGACGACCCAATAAACAGCACTTCTATAAGGTGACTACCTGGGTATGCCGTAGGTTTGTTTAAAACCTTCTCCCATTGGTGGTGATGAATAGCATGTAGTTTCTAACAAATAGGTGATATTTAGGACGTTTCTGTGGTGAGCATTTAGGAAAGTTTATACATGCAACAATGCAATTTACAAAAGAGCGCTGATAATGCAACAATGCATTTACAAAAAGAGTGCTGATAATGCAATGATGCATTTTACAAATGAGTGCTTATAATGCAATTTACAAAAGAGCACTGATAATGCAATGATGCATTTACAAAGGAGTGTTAATGATGCAATTTACAAAAGAGTGCGGATAATGGTTATCCTGGTTGTACAAAGTCTGCCTGAATACCACAGTCCTGGAGGCAGAGGCCAATACCCTCGGTAATAGGAAGCTTCCTTGGGTGACTGAGCCAATTGTACCTGTACACCCAGTGCATATCAAGCGTGAGTGATTGCGCAGTGATAATATATACTTACCAGCAAGCGCTCCACTCATTTACTGATGTTGGAGTCGTTATCAGGTCACACAGTATAAGATGTTTTTTGTACAGTTCTGGTGTGGTGTAAGGAACGAACCAATCCAGGTGTTGTAGCAGCTTATTCTATGTATCTTTCTATTATTCATTATTTGTTTGTAAGAACCTCTTTTATCACAGATAGGTTCTATAACATGGGCTCCATACTGTAATGAAGAACCCTGTGAATATTCAAATTCACTCAAAACAGACAAGTTGTGACTAGTTACTCTGCCGACATTTTGCCATCAGACTTTAATTTGCTACAAATCAAAATTTAATGATTACAACTGTTCATAAAGATTTTTTTCCTTTTCTATAAAAGGTTTTTTTTCTTCATTATAAATAAATTAAATGAAAAGAAAATATTTTTTTGTCGATCATGTTCTTTCAATGTAAAACAACTCCATGGCCCATATACTACATCATTCAAACACCAGAGCCACTACAGCATGGTTATTGTACCCAGGGCTGGATTAGCATAGGGGCTGATGGAGCTGCAGCTCCAGGCCCATGCCTATGGACACTGCTGCTAAGGGGTTTACTTGAAAGATGAAAGTGAGAGATTAGCATAGGGTTTGTGTTTTCTAATATCCTGTTTCCCTCCAGCACCACCTCCACTAGATACATGACGTATGGGAGTTATAACTGTTTTAGTGTTTTCTGCCAATAATATTTTGTAATTAGGCCCATTATAATTGTCAGCATAATTGTCATAATTGTCAGCACCAGGCCCAATGCGCTCTTAATCTGGCCCTGGTCAGGAGCATTTGTTTAGAGGAGCTCAAGAACTGTGTCTGTTGAAAATCCTTTTTAGATTCAATGCTTTGAATGGAATTTAAAATATCATTCTCTTGCAAAGTAAGAATCTCATGCAGTTTTAGGGATCCATTTCTGATTTCATGTATCTTGTCTTCCTTGGAGCCCCGGAAGTTGTCATTCACAAAATGAATTTTTATAAGGTCATTTTCAAATTTACATTTAGCTGTAAAACAACATATGTGCCATCATCTCTAATTTAAAAATATATTTATATTTCTAAATTCCATTTAAGAAAACTCTAGGTAACTTTCTATTGTTTTTGGATATTTTCTGTGGCAGAGATGGATTAACATTCTACGGTCTATTAATTTGACCCCCCCACCCACCCCTTCATTGTGCACATAGCTCAATATATATGTTTTTGTATATATTTTTTAAATGTTTGTGTGTGTATGTGTGTATATATATATATATATTTACACACACACACACACAACAGCCCCAAGCTGTGCTGCCCAGCATGCTGTGGGTGCTCGTACACAATAATAATAATAAGACTAGAATCCATATTTTGTTCATCAAATTGTATGCATACACAATGTGATCACGTAAAGAACCTGGTTCTGTACTTACATTCCTCTTGGCATGGGTTCGCAACACAGGCATCGACTTTTTCGACTGGAATTTAAAATATATCTTTCTTTTGCAAAGTAAGTATCTCATGCAGTTTTAGGGATCCATTTCTGATTTCATGTATCTTGTCTTCTTTGGAGCCCCGGAAGTTGTCATTCACGAAATGAATTTCTATAAGGTCATTCTCAAATTTGCATTTTGCTGTAAAACAATATCTTTGCCATCATCTTTAGTTTTTTAAAAAAAATAAGTATTTCTAAATTCCATTTAATGGAACTCTAGGTAACTTGCTAGTTTTGTTGGATATTTTCTGTTGCAGAGATGGATTAAGATTCCACGGGGCCCTAGGCAGTCTATTAATTTGACCCCCCCCACCCCTTCATTGTGCACATAGGGATGGTGAATGGGGCAAATTACATTCATGGTTTTAGGGCCCATGTCAAACCACTCTTCCTCAGGTTTGAATGCCAAGGTTATGGATATGAAGCCTGTTTT